ATAAACCAGACTTTTGGTTCATGGGTAGACTTGGGAGAAGTGATTTTTTTTTTCTCCTTAAATGTGAAAAAGAAAGTATGCAGCCCTGAATACTTCTACCAATTATCTTTCTCCACTTTTTTTGTAGTGGTAGAGTGCTTGCGGAGCAGGCACTTGCGGAGCAGGCACTCTACCACTTGAGTCCATTTGCACTGGTTATTTTGGAGATGGGATCTCCCTAACTATTTCCCAGGCTGACCCTGAATTGTGATCCTCTCAATCTCAGCTTCCTAAGTAGCTAGGATTACAAGCCATCAGTGCCCAGCCTACTAATCAATCATCTTGTAACCATGAGAAAACAGCCTGAGGACAAAGCTGATAAAATGAGGAATGAAGAATGAACATAGGATCTGTGACTGAATTTGCCTGCTCCTCTCTTAATATGAGACTTTTCAATTGTTAGCCAACAAATCTCTTTTATTGTTGAACAAATTTGATTTTGGATTTTTATTACTGGAAGCACAAAGTACACTAACCAGCACTTGTCCTCTGTGCATAGCCAGGATCACAATCTTTGGAATTAGATGAATCTGCGTTAAAATTTCAACTTGCTATATAATTGCTTCTGTGATAATTGTTTTCTGAATCTACTTTAGTATCTTATTTTATGGGAATAACTGTACCTATCTAATAAGGGAATTGAGTATTATGTGGAAGGCTAGTATTGTGGCTCAAGTGGTAGAACACCTGCCTAGCAAGCACTGAGGCCCTGAGTTCAAACCCCAGTACCACAAAGAAAAAAAAAAAGATTATTATGTGGTAGAATTTGGCAAATCACTTCACAGGGTATTTGAACACAGTTGGATTTCTTTTCTTTTTTTTTGGCAGCACGGGGGCTTGAATTTAGGACCTCATGCTCGCTAGGCAGGTGCTGCACCACTTGAGCCACTCCACCAGCCCATAGTTGGATTTCTAATTGAATTTCTTTCCTGTACTCCTCATAAGCAAATGTAATGTCAATGGATTCTGATAAAGGACTTATAGAGAAAACAAGATCGAAACAACATTCTCGATTTAAAATTAGGTGGCATAACTCAATTTATATTTTACTCTTTGAGCTGACTTTGAGGAACAGTTTTCACATTAATTAATATGATATGACTCTTGAACTCTTAAAATTAAGATACCAAGGTTACATATTGTGTCTATTCCTTAATAATCCATGACCTATTTATAAATATAAGTTTACATGATAGTAACAGTCATTTGGATTCCAAAAGGAAGACATAAAGCAAAAAGTCAACACATTTGAACGTGGAAAATCCTTAAGAAAATTAAGAAAAAAACCCTAAGTGTAAATTTAAATGAGAAGTGGCAGAAACAATGGATGAGTGAAAATGACAGAAGTTAGCCTTTCCACTGATTTCTATTATTCTGACTGCTGAGATCATGTCTATACCATAAAAATCAGAAAAACACACTGCATTCATGTCTTTAAAAATCCCATTTGACATGTTCCTTGATATACAAAAAAAATCTCTTGAGTTGGTCACAGAGAAAGGATGCTTGGGTATAGGGTTTGCAGTAGACACAAAGCATCTATAGGTAAAGTAGTGGCCTTCCTACATCAGCTGCCAAAAGACATTTCTTTGGAAAGTCACTTATTCAATCTGGGACACACATTTTTAGGTTTTGAAAAATGGTTGGATATCAAGTAGCCTGTTTACACTCAATAAGTTCTACATATTTCTTTGCAAACACATGTGTATGTGTGTGTCTGTGTATATACACTGCATCAAGTTCTTTAGTTCTCTAAACCTTTTCCTTCCTGCAAATTACTTAAAAATGGCAATGACACACTCCAAGGTAGAATTATAATATAGCTATAATAATGAAGTAGTTAAGTGAAGATAAAACAGAATGAATTTCACTTAATTTATATAATTTTCCTTGACAGTACAAAGCAGTTTCATTTATCTTACCTCATTTAATCTTCCCTATGAAGTAGGTTTTTTTTTTTTTTGTGGTACTAGGGTTTGAACTCAGGATCTTTACCTTGAGCCCCTCCACCAGCCCTTTTTTATTATGGTGGGTTTTTTATATAGGGTCTTATGAGCTATTTGCCCAGGTATGTTTTGAACTATGATCCTCCTGATCTCTGCTCCTGAGTAGATAGTGTTATAGGCATGAGCTATCAGTACCTGGCAGGAATTGTTTTATATACGAAAAAACCCTGAATATCAGAAGAGTTAAACTCTTTTCTTAATTTTGCAGGGCAAACAAGTGAAGGAACCATGTTTTAATATTCCAAATCAAGTGTTTCTCCACTGCATATATTGTACTGCACCTAAATAGGTATTAACTTGCCTAATAGGTTATTATCAAGCAAATCTGCCTCAACTCTGTGAAAAGAAGGTCAAGCAGTTTTTATTGTTCTAGACTCTAAAATTCTAGTTCTAGAATCTATAACTACTGTCTCTTTAAACTTCTAAGAAATACCTAAGTCGAGGTATTACGTGCAAATGCTTATTTTCTTACAAATTCACCTCTTTTGAAAAATATCTTTTCAAACATAAGAAACAATTACTAAGAGTTCACAGTACTGGGAGTTTCTGTGATCATCATGGTTCTGATTCATTTTTTTCTCTACTTTCACATCGATTTAGCTATCGACAGTGTCCAGTTAACTCTACTTCCTATTACTGTCTTAATTCATTTATATCATTTTGACTTGTCATTTTAACCTATCTCTTGCTGCTATGAGTTGCTATCTGAATCTTTCAGTCAAGTTTTAAATGTAAAAACGTTAGTGAAGCTTTTTTGTAAATCATACTAACTCTAGATTGAGAGAAACCTTCCTGGCAACTGTTCTATGTTTCAGCAAAATTTCTTCAGCATTCATTCTTCAGCAAACATTTTTATGTTGTCTGTTTTTCATCAGAAGTGTTAGTGTATAAGTATCAAACTTTAACTATGGAACAATTCAAATCAATACATATTATGTATTCTGATGTATAGGGTCTACATAAAGGGCAAAGTTGTCTAAGACATGGTCCCTGCCCCAAAGGAGCTTACAGTCTAGCTTCCAACTTTCAACTGTCAGACATAGAACACAGAAATTAGCAGCTCTCAGTTATTTCCTAGAATTTGGAAATACTTATTCAGTGCCATACTCCATCTAGGGAAATGTATAGATATGATACTATGACAATGCACATAAGTTTTTTCAATTATTATCTGGTCATAGTTGCTTTATTTCCCACTCTTGAAAAAAATCTAATCTTTATTAGAGTTAATATACTGTACTAGTTAATTTATACATCCTGCACATATGCATCCACATCTTTGTACCAATCTTTTTTTTAAGGTTTTTTTTTTTTTTGGCAGTACTAAAGTTTGAACTCAGGGCTTCACACTTGCTAGGCAGAAATAAATTATACAGTATACATTATAAAACTTTAAAAAAAATGTACTCACGTGTAGTTTATAATTTATTCCTAAAATCTTTTTTTCTTTTTGGTGGGACTGGGGTTTAAACTCAGAGCTTTGCATTTAAGCGGGTTCTCTACCACTTGAGCCACACCTCCAGTCCATTTTGCTCTGGTTATGCTGGAACTTATTTTTGCCCAGGCTGGCCTGGAACAAAGATCCTCCCAATCTCAGCCTCCCAAGTGGGCAGGATTACAGGCGTGAGCCACCGAGGCCCCACTCTTTCAAATCTTTATTCATTTAGTTTTTAGAGTAGCAAAATGAAATCGTGGTCTCTAAAAAATACTCAATGTTATAAATACTTCTGCATATGAAATCATGATTTTAAGTTTTATTGGCTTACATACCATCATATTGGTATGTAACAATGCAGTCTTCAATTTTTTTTCCCTCTTTTTGGCAGTTCTGAAGTGTAGACTCAGGCCTTGTGCTTGCTAGGCGGGCACCCTCCGCCCCCCACCCTCACTGGAGTTTGAACTCAGGGCCTAAGCTTGCTGCCAGACAGACGCTTTTACCTCTTGAAGCAACTACAATAGACCTTTGTGTGTGTGTGTGATGGGGTTTTTCTAGATAAGGTGTCACGAACTATTTGCCCAGACTCTGGCTTGGAACAGGGATCCTCCCAATCTCCGCCTCCTGAGTAGCTATGATTACAGGTGTAGGCCACCAGCGCCACGCCTCCAGCTCCAATTTTTTTTTTTTTTTTTTTTTGAGACGATGTCTTGCTATGTAACCAGGCTGGCTTCAATCTTGAAGTCCTCCTGTCTCAGCCTCTGGAATGCTGCAAAGACAAGCGTGCACCACCACGTCTAGCGACAGTCTCCAAATATTAAATGGGAAAATTTCAAATTAAAAAGAGCAACTACAAATGGGATTCAGTAAAAGATAGGAAGTTAATGAGCGCATCATTTATATTTACCTTAAAACAAATGACTTATTTAGGACAATCCCGACTTACCAGATCCTGTTTACCATTTAAAAATTGTGTGTAGGAGGCAGTCCATCCTTTATATTTCATTTACTTTTTACAAATACAATAGTATCAATAGTATCACTGTTCGGAAAACCAGTTTTCTGTGCTAATTTCGGTACAAATATAAGTTATTAACAGCCCATATTCACAGATTTAACCCCTGAAACACTGCGTGTTCTCCCTCCTTGGCTTTAAATAAAACCTTGCTATGCCATTGCAGATGGTTCGGCGAGGCCTATGATTTTCTACGAGAACATCAGCCAGTGGGTGGGACACAAGCTTCCAGGCAGCGCCGAGGACCGGCCGGGTGGCCCGAGGCCGGGCAGCCCGCTGGGTCTGCAGCTGGGGTGGCGATCGCACTGGGTCGGCGGCTTGGGAACGACTCTCCTGTTCTCTCTGACAGCCGGCTGGGCCAGGCCTAGGCCCGGACACACAAGGCAAACCGCCCAAGCGCGCACAGACCTCTAGGTCGGGTCGGCACGCCGCTCAGCCTCCGCTAGCCGGGAAGCGCTGCGCAAGCGCGACAGTCGTGCGACACCACCACTTACGGCCGAAGGGGTCCGTGCTGGGGGTTGGTGGCGCGGTGCAGAGCTCTTAGGAACCAACAGCTTTGGCACGGGTAATCAGCTCCTTTTGCTCCTTTCCCAGCTTCTCTTAGGTACTTGGGACCACCGCGGAGTTTCTTGTCCCGTTGCGGACGCCGGGTCGTGCAGTGTCTCCCCACCATCCTGCTCCTCTGCTGCTCCGACTGCTCCCGCGCCCAGGTGGGGGTGAGGGGCGGGGTCAGCGGCTGGGCTGAACTCCATCCTGGCGTCTTGGTGTGGAGATCTCCCGGGTGACTCGGGGCTCTTCTTGTTTTCCAAGACTAGTATCCGGTGACTGTGATTTGCAGGGTCCGCCATGGAGCCAGAGCAGATGCTGGAGGGACAGACGCAGGTACCTGGAGGCCCGGGACTCGGGGTGGCAGGGCGGCAGAGGGAAACAGCGGCTCACGTCTCTGTGCCCCGTGTTCTGCTTTCCAGGTTGCAGAAAATCCTCACTCCGAGTACGGCCTCACAGACAACGTGGAGGTAACTCGCTCAGTTCCTAGTGCGGCATGTGGGGTCTTCTGGAGAGCGGGACAAAACGTGGGATTCGTTTTAACGGGGTTACTTTGCACAAGGGAAAACTTTGCTATCTGGAACTCAGCAGTATTAAGTTATAGGTAACTTGTTTTCACTAGGGGTACCAGTGTTTGTCAAAACAAAATAGAAGGTACTTGTAAATGTATGAGTAAATACTGGAACAAATGAATAAATCAGAATTAGATTTCGGAATGGCTAGGAAAATAAGCTTCTTGGAGATTTGTGTGTGAATAATAATAATAGTAATAATAATAATGAGTGACATGGAGAATGAAGTTTGGATAAATGAAGGCAGAGCATTTCCAAGAAGTTATAGTAGAAACAGGTGTTAATATTTCTTTGCCGTGTCTGATGTCCATCTGAGCGATTTGCATGTATCTTAAGCCCCGTAAGGATGAAAGAAGTAACGTATCCAAGGTTGCCAGGAATTAAGTAGAGAGCTGTTTTTAACCTAGGCAGGTTGACTTTTTTTTTTTTGCAAAAGGATTAAGTTAGATCGCTAATCTTGACCAACTCCTAGTGTTTGTTGTTGTGACCATAAAATCGCTAGAAAAATGTACTGGTTTGCTACCAATCTGTTTTCATAGTGCACTTTTTTTTTTTCTCCTTCTTGGAACAGAGTCTTGCTATGTAGCTCAGGCTGGCCTGGAACTCATCATGAGCCTCCTGCCTCAGCCTCCCGAGTGCTGGGATTATAGGCATGACCACCATACCTGGCTTCATATTGTACTTTTATTTGAACTGCTATGCTGAATCAGGTGAATGAATATACTCAATACCACTTTCTTCTAGTCATTTAAGGGACTTCTTTTTAGGGATCAGCACAGTCTTGGTTTCTGTATATAGCCACACAGTAGTGATACTGCAGAGCAGTGATAATCAAATGCTGTATCCTAAACCATCAAACCTTCCTTGGTAAAATGAGAAAATCTTGAAAGTGAAATGAGTGTGTGAATGCTATTTGCCTATTAGTCTTTCTGCTTCTTTAATTTTTTTGATAGTGTTGAGATTTGAACTCATGGTCTCATACTTGCTAAGACAGGTGCTCTCCCACAGCCATGTCCCCAGCCCTTTTGTTTTGTTTTTGAGACAGGGTCTCACTATGTAGCTCAGGCTGGCCTGGAACTCACTATGTAGCCAAGCCTGTATTTCTAATTTACCTGTTTGTGAAATCTGAAAGTCTGGAAACCAATATTCTACAGTGGCTACTGCTGCTGTTACTTTTCTTATTTATGATTGCATCACATTTTATTTCTTTTATTGGCTTATTATAAATTTGGGTTTTTTTTTCTTTTAAGAGGTTGCTTTAGGGATATAATGTTCAAGTTTGAAAATCACAATTTACCTTCAAGTAGTATTGTATCTTTTCTCTACAGTAATACAATTTTTTTTCATATTTAAAAACCTAGGGATCAAACCTAGGGTCTCATGCATTTTGGACAAGTCTCTACCACTGAGCTACATCTCCAGCACCCCCCCAGCCCAGTATATGACTCTTGTAACAACATTCTTCCGATTTGTTCCTCCCCTGGTCTTTGTACTATTGTCATATATTTTACTTCTGTATTTATTATGCACTTTAAATCATGATTTTTTTTTCCTTAAAAAGTCATTTGTCTTTTAAGATATGTAAACACTAAGAAAAAAAGAGAATTTTACATTTACTTACGTGTTTACCATTTCTGGGCCTTTTCATTCTTTTGTGTAAATCTATATTTCCATCTTGTTTTCTTTCTGTTGAAGTACTTTAATATTTCTTTTAGATAGTTCTTTTAGCTTCTGCATATCTGAAGTAAAAGTCATTATTTTGCTTTTGTTTTGGGAAGATTTTTTTTTTTTTACTTGTGGAGCTGGGATTGAACCCAGGGTCTTACCCATGACAGGCAAGTGCTTTACTGGCTGAACTACCCCCAGCTGTGGAAGATATTTTTGCTGGAGGTAAATTTGCTTCATTGTCTTCTTGGTAACATTGTTTCTGATGAGAAGTCTACTGTCATTCTTGTCTGTGCTTCTCAATTCAATACATAATGTCTTTTCTCTATTTTCTTGTTGCTTTTAAGATTTTCTTATCATTTTTTATGTAATTTGATTATAGTATAGTTTTTTGGCTGGGGATTGAACCCAGGCCTGGTATATGCTAAGCCGTGTTCTGGCTCTGAGCTGTATTACCATCCCCTTCACCCCCCAGCTCAGTTTTCCTTTTTGTATTTCATTTCTATTTCTTTTCTTTTTTTCTCTTTAAATGTTTCTTCTGCCTAGGAATCATTGAGCTTCTTCTTGGCTTTGGGTTTACAGTTTTCAATTAAGCGTTGGAAAAATTCAGCGCTTAATTCTTTAAATGTTTTGTCAGATCAATTTACTCATGTTTCCCTCTACCTTGAACAGTTTTTGTGGCCTAGCTTGTTCCATCATCTGTATTATTTCTGGGTCCTTTTCTGTGGATTGAGTTTTCTCTTCATTATACACATTATTTTCTTGCCTAATTTCTTTTGGGGATACTGGGGTTTGAAATTCATGGCTTTGGGCTTTCTAGGCAGATGCTCTACCACCCGAGCCACACCTTCAGTTCTTTTTTGTTTTCCCCCTTTGGTTATTTTTGAGATAGGGTCTCCCCCCTCCTTTTTTTTTTTTTTTTTGCCTGGGCCAGCCTTGAACCCTGTACCTCCTGATTTCAGCCCTCCAAGTAGCTAGGATTACAGGCGTAAGCCACTGATGCCCAGTTCTGCCTAATAATTTCTTAGAGGATGCTGGGCATTGGGTGTATTGGGTAATTTTGTATTTCTTCAAACATTCTTAAAAATTTTGTTCTAGGATATAGTTCCTAATAAATTGATTGATCCTTTTAAAGCTTGCTTTAATCTTTCTTAGGTGAGAACAAACCAGCCTTTAACTTAGGTCTAATTTCCCCCTGTAGGGTATTCTGCCCATTGCTCCATGTATTTTGAGGTTTTCCCACCCTAGGTCATGGAACACAAACTATTCCCAGCCTTGTGTGAGTTTCAGAGATTCTTCCTTCTGCTTTTTTTTGGTGGTTTTCTCCCTGGCCTTCGGTAGTTATAGTCATCTGAAGATTGAAAGGCAATCAAGCCTCTCTCTTTTTTTTGGTGGTACTGGGGCTTGAACTCAGCCCCACACTTGCTAGGCAGGCATTCTACCACTTGAGTCACTCTGCCAGCCCTTTTTTGTATTGGGTATTTTCGAGGTAGGTTCTTCATGAACTGTTGCCTGGGCTGACTTCAAACTGTTATTCTCCTGATCTGATCTCTGCACTCTGTAAGTTTTCCATGCTGGAAGCCAAAAACTGGAGCAATCATAGGACTCAGCCTAGCCTCTGCCCTTTTTGTGGTCACTATAGTATACTGTCTGTAATTAGCTCATTCTGATTTTCTTTTGGTCAGTAGTAGAGTTTGAACTCAGGGCTTCATGCTTGCTAGGCACTTGCTCTACTGCTTGAGCCACATCCCCAGCCCTTTTTGCTCTGGTTATTCTTGAGATAGGGTCTTACTTTATGTCAGGACTCTGATTCTCCTATTTCTGCTTTCTGCCTTAGCTAGGATGACAGGTATTGGCTACCTTGCTTAGCTTTTTCTGTTGAGATGGGGGTCTTAGGAACCTTTTGGCTCAGGCTGTACTCCTCTATCCTCCTGATCTCTACCTTCCCAGTAGTTAGGTTTATAGGTGTGGTGTGAACCACTGGTGGCTGGCCTGGCTTATTATTTTATTTTATTTTTTTTATTGCACTGAGGTTTGACTCATAGCCTCACATTTGCTAGGTAGTTCCTCTTACTGCTTGAACCACTCTGTTAGCTGCAATTTTTTTTCTTTTTGATGGTACTTGGATTTGAACTCAGGCCTTCATACTTGCTAGGCAGGCACTCTTACCACTTGAGTCACTCCACCAGCTTTCTTTTTGTTTCCTGTATTTGTGTGTGTGTAGGTTAATTCAGGAGTTTGACCTAACTAACATTAAGTGCAGGAATTGACATTTCTTCAGTATGTTTTTTAATGAGAGGTATTAGCTAAGGAATTTATGATTGGACTTTCAATAATTACTTAGGTACTATTGCAGTTTTTCATATTTTATTTTATTTTTTTAGTGGTATTGGGAGTTGAACTCGGGATCTCACTCTTGCTAGGTGCTCTACCACTTGAGTCACTCTGCCGGCCCTTTTTAAATTTTAATTAACATATATTAACTGTACAAATGGGTTTCATTGCTGATTCTTACTGGAGGCAGTGTAATGTCTTGCACCTGACTAGTTTTTATTACATACAAATATGACAGGAAGTTAGGATTCTTCCCCTCCCCCAACACACACACATTGGGGGTTTGAACTCAGGGTTTCATGCTTACTAGGCTGATGTTCTTTACTGCTTGAGTCACTACTCCAGCCCTTGTGATGGGTTTTTCCCAGATAGGGTTTCATGAACTATTTGCCTGGGGTATGGCTTTGACTGCAATCCTCCTGATCTCTGCCTCCTGAGTAGCTAGGATTACAGGTGTGAGCCACCAATGCTCAGTGGAAGTTAGTATTCTTTACTGTGGTCAAGATGAAGTTTTGAACATGGTGGATTTATTTATTTATTTATTTGTGGACTGGGGTTTGAACTCAAGAGCTTTGTGCTTACAATATAGGTACTCTACTGCTTGTACCACACCACCAGTCCATTTTCTGTGTTTATTTTGGAGATGGGGGTCTTGAGGAGTATTTGCCTGGCTGGCTTTGAACTTTATTCTTAGCCTGGAGCTAGGATTCCAAGTAGCTAGAATTACAGGCGTGAGCCACCAGTGCCTGGCTTACCTATGTTTTGATCTAGGGGAAAAAAAAATCTCATTCAAGATGATAATGTTAGTTTTCAGAAATATTAAGCTGTATAATCTTTTCTGCACTGGAAAGGTGAATTTTTACAGAGCGTCACTTAGAATCTCAGGAATGACAGTTTTCGGGCTGGCAGAGTGATTCAGGTGGTAGAGCACCTGCCTAGAAATGTGACGCCCTGAATTCAAACCTCAGTACCTCCAAAAAAAAAAGAATGACAGTTTGCTATAGGTATTACCTATTGAAATAAATTTCTCAATCCATTGTCAAATAAATACTTTATAGATTAAGTAGACTTTATAGAAAATTACTTTGTAATTAAGTTTCAAAATTACATTGGAAAACCTTAAGAGAAGTTGTCTGACATAATTATGAAAGGTCTTTGGAGACCTTTGTATTTTTGTTGTAGCTAAATTATTTAAGTTTTTCCTCACTTTTTGCAACCTAAAATTAGATCTAGAAGAATGTTTTTACTTTGTTGACTCTTTATGTTCAGTTGTAGTATGATTGAATGGAAATGCTATTAAGAATACTGTTTTGTCTTTTAGAGTCATTATGAATTTCTAATATGGTAGATTTCAAAAAAAAAAGCAAGCATTTTTAATTGGGTTTTGAGGTTCTAGATTTCAGTTGAATCTATGAAAACCCTCAAATTTGGTGGTGGTTAAGTAGAACGTGTAAGTTATTATTTCCTAAATTTTATTCACTTGTAATATTACAGTGGTCATGCCTGTAAACACAGCTACTTGGTAGGTGGAGATCAGGAGGATCTGGCTTTGAGACCAGCCGAGGCAGAAAGTTAGTGAGATCACCATCTCAACAAACATGCCAGGTGTGGTGCTTCACTCTCATAACCCCAGCTATGAGGGAGACATAGTTAGGAAGATCATGGTTGGAGGCTGACCTAGCAAAAACACAAGCCCTATCTGAAAAATAACCTAAAAGCAAAAATAGGCTGGGACGTGGCTTAAGTGGTAGAAGGTCCTGATTTCAAACCCCAGTCATCCCCCCTCCAAAAACATCACATTAATGACCTTTTCCATATTAATTTTTTTTCTCATTTCTTGGGCATTTTATTTTTAATTTTTTGTTGGGACTGGGATTTGGGCTCAGGGCTTCATGCTTGCAAAGCAGGAGCTCTCCCTCCAGTCCATTTTGCTCTGGTTATTTTGGAGATGGAATCTCACAAACTTTTTCCCCAGGCTGCCCTTGAATCCTCCAGATCTCAGCCTCCTAAATATCTATGATTAGGCTGCCTGGTAAAAAGTATAGATATATTTCTTTACAAAAGAAACAAATGGAGAAACATTCTCATTATGATAAGTGGAGGATAACCATAAAAATAAACTCTGAATACAAAACAATGGTAAGAATTTTAGGTAGATTCCATTGACAGTGTGAACCTCTGAACCTGTGGTTAGTTATTTCTATAAAGAAGGGAGTTTAGCAAGTACTATCAAAGTGGTAAAGCCATATGACACTAAACTGAGACTTTGTTCTTGATATTATCTGTGGTAAGAATTGAAACAAGAGTAGCTTTCTTGCTGTGATTCATTGCTACTTGAGGTAATGTGTTTTACACTTTAAGAAAGTCGTTTTATAAACGTGGCATGGTGTTGCATGCCTGTAATTCCAGCATTCAAGAAATGGAGGCAAGAGGATCACAAGTTCAAGGCCAGTGTGGGATAAATAGTGAGAGCCTGTCTCAAAAAAACAAAACCCAAGGATAACATAAGCCCCAAACAAAACAAAACCAGAAGGTATTCTTATAAACAAAAGAAAAGAAAAAGGGGCCTCAGGATGTAATTCAGTGTTAGTGTATTTGCCTAGCATGTAGAAGGCTCTGGGTTTGATTCCCAGTATCACAAAAATAAATAAATAAATAAATGAAATTTAAAAAAAATGTATTTCTAAAAGAGGCAGAAGCAAAGGGAGAAATTAGATTCTGGAGATAAGAATCTAGGAATAAGATTTGTGTCTTCAGAGAGAAAAAACTTGAATAAAGTTTAGATGAATTTCTTTTGGCGGAGAAGTCTGCAATGCAGAAGCAGTTTCTAGTCATTAATTTGCCTTTTTCTATTTGTGTCATACTTCTATCAGTTTTTGTTTAGCATTCAAAATAATCCAGTTGGTTGGAACATTCATGCTTTGTTTTTTGAATTCACTAGAGGATAGTGGAAAATGAGAAAATTAATGCAGAAAAGTCATCAAAACAGAAGGTGGATCTACAATCTTTGCCAACTCGTGCCTACTTGGACCAGACAGTCGTGCCTATCTTATTGCAGGGGCTGGCTGTGCTTGCAAAGGAAAGGTGAGATAATGAGTCATGTCTGCAAATGGAGGTAGCAGAGAATGTAAAATAAAGACTTCCTCATTGAAATACCATTAGTTGTGTATAGCTATTTTTTTAAATTATAATGTTTTTATACTTCACGGACGGTAAGCTTTTTAAAAGAAGCCAGCCAAAATCTCATAATTCAGACATTTTTGTTTGTTTTTTGTACCAATCTTAGATCATACTTGTAAAGATTTGGGATTATGGTATACATGTCATTTTGTATCTTCTTTTTACTTAGTGTCATAAAATTTTTCTATAGCTTTCCGTAGTCTTTTTGACTATACTTTAATTTATAGTAATACTACAATTAACTTAGCCACTTTTCCATTGTTGAACATTTAGTTTCAGTTTCCTTTATTGCAGGTCACCAGCAGTTTGTGTATTTTCATAACTGTTGTGCCTGTGTTTAGATACTTTTTTATCATGCATTTCCAAGGGTTGGTTTACTAATTCAAAACACATGACTATGTTTATACTGTTTGCTACATAATATCATATTTGTGTCCAAAATTTGTTCTCTAATGTCTTCTAATGTCATTAGCCTCAATAATGTGTTGTAATCTTCTTGCCAAATTATTTTAATTTACATTTTTGATTTTTTTTTTTTTTGAAGTTCTGGGGTTTGAACTCAGGGCCTCACACTTGCTAGGCAGTCACTTGAGTCACTCCACCAGCCCTTTTTTGTGTTGGTTATTTTTGAGAGAGTCTCTTTTTTTTTTTGTCTTTTTCTTTTTTCTTTCTCTTTAGAGAGAGAGTCTCTTAAACTATTTGCCTGAACTGGTTTTGAACTGTGATCCTCCTGATGTCTTCCTTTTGAGTAGCTAGTATTACAGGTGTGAGCCACTGGCATCCGGCTAATTTACATTTCTTTATTAGCATTTATTTCTCTTTTTTTCTACAAGTTTTTCTCTAGGAATTCTTATTTAAATTTTTTTAAGCAAAAATAGCAAATTTATTTTGTAAATAAATTTACTAGATGCCCTTTATTTTTTAATTAATTATTTTTTGGCAGTACTGGAGTTTGAACTTGGGGCTTTGTGCTTGTGAGGTAGGTACTCTACCACTTAAGCTAAGCCCTCTGCTTTGCAAATTATGTTTTAAATGCAGGGTAGTAATAGCCATTGTAGCAAGCTGGCATAGCTTGAAAAAGAACTTGATGGAAATGCATTTTATTGTAAGAGTGAGCTATTGACTTAGGGCAAATATATTAATTTATATAAAAATTGCATCGCATGAGGGCTTTGCTACAACATGTGCTTAGCATGTATGAGGCCCTGGCCCTGGATTCCATCCCCTATTCCAATAAACAAACAAACAATGGATGTTTGTTTTTGTTATATTTATAAAATAAGATGTGTTTATGATTGTGACATAGATCTTGGCTCTATTACTGACAGTTACAATATGGGCATCTTTTTTTTTTGTTCTAAAGAAGGTTAATATATTAGAAATTTTAAATTTTACTTTTTTTTTTTTTTTTGATGCGACTGGGGTTTGAACTCATGTCTTCATGCTTGCAGCCAGTTTGAGCCTTACCCTAGTCTATTTTGCTCTGGCTATTTTGGAGATGGTATCTCTCAAACTATTTGCCTGGGTTGGCCTCAAACCATGATTCTTCTGATTTCTGCCTCCCAAGTAGCTAGGACTACAGGTGTAATCCACTAGTGCCTGGCTTACTTTGAGTTCTAGAAGAAAATATTCAATGATGTTTTTAAGTAATAAGCTATTTGTAAATGCAATGTTTAAGAAAAAAATTCTGGCAACAAATTAATGCTAAATACAAACCATGTTGTCTGTGTTAAGATAATTAAAAAGTTTGTTTAAAGTGAAAAAGGCAGCCAGGCGCTGGTGGTTCTCACCGGTAATCGTAGCTCCTCAGGAGGCAGAGATCAGGAGAATTGTGGTTCAAAGCCAGCCAGGGCAAATAGTTTGTGAGACCCTATCTTGAAAAAACCCATCACAAAAAAAGGGCTGGTGGAGGGGCATAAGGTATAGGCCCTGAATTCAAACTCGAGTACCACAAAAAATAAAGTGCAAAAGGGATGTTTGAGATCATTGTAAATCAGTTTTCAATATGCTTTTTCAAGTTAAAGTTTAAAATAGGTAATTTTGGTGCTGGCAGAATGGCTCAAGTGGTTGAGGGCCTGTCTAGCAAGCATGAGGCCCTGAGTTCAAACCCCAATATCACATACACACACTCACAAAATGTAATTTATAATAGATATTTTCCCAAATTCTTATCCTTAGACTTGCTTTTTGAACAAGAATAACTTACATAGAAGAGATCTGAAAGAATACTTTTAATATCATAAATGTGTTTAACTTTCCAGGTGTGCTTTATGGTTGCAGAAATAGAATTGTTTAAATTATTTGAAGAAAGAAGTATCTTTAGAAAGAAAGACTTGTCTAAGTAAATGTTGCTGCTTTCAATTATTCACTTGAGGAGTTCTATATCTGTGTCTTAGCAATGCTATAGCTATTGTCCTATATTGTTTTTGATCTTTTGTTGAAGGATAATACTTACACAACAGTTACAAATATCGTAGGTGTACACCTTGATAAATTTTAACAAACTAACATAGCTATGCAACATGCACACAGATCAAGAAGATGAATACGGCTAGCACCTTAAAAGTCTCCCTGGTGACCCCTGTAATTTACTAGTCTTATGGATGCAGATGTTCCATTGTTGGTACATTTCTATACTGCGTTTTAGAATTGAGTTCATAACCAGTTTTAAGCTTTATTGTTTGCTTGCTTATTTTACTTACCATATTTACTACAAGTGGCCTTTGACTGTAAAATGTTAATTAAACTTAAAAGATTTTTTTTTAATTGTCATGGCACAATACGTTTAAATGGACACATCTAGAAAACATTTCTAAACTTTGGATTTCTTTTCCCTTACAGACCACCAAATCCCATTGAATTTCTAGCATCTTATCTTTTAAAAAACAAGGCACAGTTTGAAGATCGAAACTGACTTATTGGGAAGAAAAGAAAAATTTGGTTGCTACTGTAGATTACGTGATTAAGAGGCAGCTTTAATTGCCGTGATTTCTCCCCCTTTTGGAAGTTTAAGAGCCTTCAGGACAACAGAACTTATTTCCGGATTGGCAGAAGAGAACTTATTTCCCTTACTTGATTTAATCACCATACTTATTTAATGAGTGTCTTCTGTGCAATTTTTTTTCTTAAATCATCTTTGTTTTTAAAAATGACCTTCAAAATAAACTGTCAAAATGCCAGTATATTAGTTTTTGTTTTTATGACAAATATTTAATATGGTTGTTTTGTTACATTAATTCTTATGTCTTTGAATGCTGTAGAGCTTTACAACAGAGTGAAAATGCAACGGAATCAAGTATAATATAAAAAACTCAGCCAATTTTTCTCAGCATTGTTGCTGGACCTTTCTGAGGGTAGGATATGGGCACGTTCAGTGTCTAACAAATATCACAGGTGATTCTAATATACTAATATACACCAGTGTTGGAGTACTGGTAAGAGCATTGTAGAGGGCATTTAGTATCCTCCAATGCTTTAGAGTAATGGTTTACTAATAGCTATTTTTGTAGTCCTATGTGTCAGGACCAGCACTATTTTACTTTTAACTATCTCATATAGCAATTCTGCAAAGTAGATATTATTATTCCCATTTTGCAGATGAGAAAACAGACTTGGAGAAGTTAAATGACTTGCTTGAGACAACACTGCTGGTAAGTGCTTAAATGGGAATTCAACCCATTTCTGTCAATGTGTTGCTGATAACTAAGCTAAAGTGAGAAGTACTTATGCTACTTAATATTGTTGCTTCTCCTTGCAATAAAAAAAATAGGTACCGTATTATAATTTTGTTGTGAGCTCACCAGCTCTGAAAAATAAATTGTCTGAAGAGAACAAGGAAAAGCATTGACTAGAGGGGGGCGGGGCGGGGGGGGGGGTTTCTCCCATGGGAGAACTCCACCTCCCGGACAAGTGATGATGCATTCACATTTAGTTACCACAACTGAGTGAGGTGGAATTCTACTGTCACCTAGTGGATAGAGGCCAGGGATGCTACTGAGCATCTTCAAAGGCATGGACAGCCCATGTGTCCATCTCCTGCTTCCCCTGCACTTATCCAGTCCGAAGTATCAATATTACTGAACTTGAACCGTGTATTGAAAGTGTTTAAGTCCTGTATTTATCTCCAAGTTAAAATCTTACAGCCTTTGCAAAGTTAGAAATTGAATGTTGATGGGGCATATTTTATAATTCTCTTTAATCTAGGAAATAGTTAATTCAGTAGGATTGACACCTGTGGGGAGGTGATCCTATGCTTTCAATTTACATCTGCAGAATGATATATATTTCCATGAAAAACCTGAAAATATTGTGAACTGCTTATATAGTGGTTGTCACAAGTATTGTGTTAAAACTTATTTTGGTTACTTGGCTAAATAACTCATTAGTTAATCCACTGAAGTGTTTTTTAGTGATATTTTAATATTTGAGTAAGTGCTTGAATAATTTTGTTAAAGCATTAGTAGTATTGCTTATCTTTTTTTTTGTTTTTCTTTTTTGTTTATTGCTTATCTTTTTTAGAAATGTTCTTTTATTACTTATTTATATCAGAGCTACTTGGGAACTTTTCAAAAATGAATATAAGCTATATAAGTATAAAAATACATAAAATACAAATTTATATTTTGTAGATGTGTGTTCATGCTTATAACTCCAGAGCATGATTCAATTATGAATTTGATGAAAGTTTTTTTTGGCAGTGCTGGGGTTTGAACTGAAGGTCTTGCATTTACTGTGTGGACGCTATACCACGTTAGCCACGCCCTCAGCCCTTTTTGCTTTATTTATTTTTAACAGGAGTGGGGTTTGAACTCAGGGCCTCATACTTGCTAGGTAGATCTCTCATAGGCGTATAATCCCATTCATGAAATGACCTGAACTCTGAAAGGCCTCATAACTCTTTTTTTTTTTTTTTTTTGCGGTATTGGGGTTTGAACTCAGGGCCTGCACCTTGAACCACTCTGCCAGCCCTTTTTTGTATGGGTTTTTTCCAGATAGGTTCTCCCAAACTATTTGTCTGGGGCTGGCTTTGAATTGTGATCCTCCTGATCGCTGCCTGAGTAGCAAGGATTACATGCGTGAACCACTGGCACCTGGCTTGCTTTAGTTATTTTTTGAACGGTGTTTTGCTGTTATGCCTGAGCCTGCCTAGATCGAGTTCCTCCTATCTGTTTATCATCTAGCTGGGATGACAGATATGGCCACTGCATGTAGAGCTTTTATTGGCTAAGGTAAGAGGTCTCCTTAACTTTTTGCTTGGGTTGTCCTTGAACCTTGATCCTCTGGGTCTCTACCTCCCAAGTAACTGGGATTATAGGCATGGGCTACTGGTGCCTAGCCTGATGAAAAGTCTGTAAGGCAGTATAATACATACCTTTGAGTAAGAACCACTTTGAAGGTATTTTAGTTTTGGAAGTGTATGTGTACTCTGCCTATGTTGCATTAGTTCTAGTGTTGTTTTGAATTATCTTCAATATAGGAATTAAATGATTGAATCTTGAATTTATGACTTTTTTCAGTAAATACTGAGAATAGGCACTTTTGTCAACAGTCCATGTGTTCCTTAGTCTTTTACCATATTGTCAGGGACCATGTAAAATACTTTTATGTGAAGTGTCACTTAATCTCAGTGCCGTGAGGTAGATTTAATATTTTAGAAGAAAACTCACACTTTATTTACTAAAATATCACTTTATTGGTATATGAGAAACATAAAAAGTTGTACACATTTAATTTGTACAAGTAGATGAGTTTCAGTATAAGTGAAACTATAACCACTATCAAAACTAAAACCATATTCATCGCCTCCCAAAGTTTATGGGATGTTTAATTTGATTTTTGTGCATTCTGTGCACATGCCAAATGTCCCACTGGGCTCACCCCTGCCCAGAGATAGGTTTAACTTACTACTTTGTTTTTAGATGAGGAAACTGAGGTTTGGTTAGCTTGCTCCAGGTTACAGAGAAAGTGAGTTTGAGGCTGGGATTCAACCCCAACATAACACCATATTACCTTTCAGGTATGCCTGACATTTTTCCCACTTACCTGGTTGCCTACTTACCTGGTTGGTAGGTGAAAACGCACATTGCAGAAGGGAATCATTAATGATGTGTACTATAAAGTTTTTTATTTTGAAACTTAAAAATGCTTATGTATTAACTTGGTAATATTTTGATTTCTTTTCTTTAAATATAGATTCTTTGATTGGAATTCTGTATCGTATCATCTTTTTTCCATAAATCACACCTATACTGCATCGTCTACAAATTTCAGCTTCAGAGTTTTTGGAAATAGAGTAAAATTTTGAACATGTACTTCTTTTTTTTTTTTCCGTGCTAGGGTTGAACTCAGGGCTTCTCACTTTTTAGGCATTCTGTCATTTGACCCATTCCACCAGCCCTTGGACATGTAATTTGTAGAATGCTAGATTTTCTTTTCCTTCATTCATCTGGCCTGCAATTTTGTGTGTGTGTGTGTGTGTGTGTGGTGTGTGTTACTAAGGTTCAAATTTAGGGCCTTATGCTTGATAGGCAGAAACTCTTACCACTTAAGCCACACTTTTAAGCCTCGCCCCCCACCTTTTATTTTTTTTTACTTTATTTTTTAGATAGGGTCTCATTGTTGCCCAGGGCAGCCTTGGACCTCGACATTCCTACTTTTTACAGATGGGATTAAAGCTGTGTATTACCATGTCTATCTTGTTGATTGATATGGTGTCTTGGTAACTTTTTTCCTGGGCTGGCCTTGAACTGTAGTCCTCCTGATCTCTGCCTTCTGCATAGTTGGGATTACAGATATACCCATCATGCTTAGCTTGACAGTTGTTTTTACTGAGTCTTTCCAAAACATTTTGAACACTTGTTTTATTTTTAAAAAATTTTAAATTGTTTTGGTGGGACTGGGGTTTGAACATCAGGGCTTCCCACTTGCAAAGCAAGTGCTCACAAAGCAGGTGCTCTGCCAACTGAGCCACGCTTCCAGTCCATTTTGCTCTGGTTCTAATTGGAGATTGGGGTCTCTCAAACTATTTGCTTGACCTCAAACTGTGATCTTCCCAATTTCAGCCTCCCAGGTGGCTAGGATTACAGGTGTGAGCCATGGCACCCGGAAAGAGTGAGTTCTTGAATTGTTGGTGGGTATTCGAGTGGGAGGACCAGTAGAGTATATGAGGAATAGATTTCCTAGAGGAAATAGCTACCATCAGTTGAGAAAAAAAAATTGTTTGGAGAGCATCTGTGCAATTCTGATGAACCCATAGGAAGTATATTGAACTTTCATGTGAGTCTTATGAGAAGGTATAGTGGAACTTCTAGATTAATAACTTCCTGTTAGAAATATATAAATTATAGGAATAGAATAAAATATTGTAGGCAGATATTTTCCTGGACTGGATCTACAAAGACATTACCAAATTGAAGGCTTGACATATATTATTAAACTATAGAAAGGAAGGACAAAAGATGAAATCTGTTTAGTAGCTGTAACTGAGAATCTAGTTGTTAGGAAAAAAATGTGATAGTAGAAAATAGGCCATCATAGATGAAAGGGCAGTTGGTAATAACTGTCTCTTAAAAAAATTGTCAGCCTTTAAGACAGCTTGGTATCTTTTGTCTCAAGTTATTTCATTTGTGGGAATCCTAAATATTAATATGAAAAAATATGTAAAAAAATCTCATTCATTGGAAAGAACCAATTTTCATCTTATGAACACCACTGAATGTGTAAAGTACTTATGCAGTATCAGGAACATAATAGATGTTTGATAAATGTCACTTATTCAATTTAGCTTATACAGTAGAATAGGGCAAAGTTGATTGATTCTAGGTCAGAGACCAGTTTTAATTGGAATCAAAATAGCCTATGCTAAACACTTCTGTCAACCTTGACTTGTTCAAAAACATTGTGGTATCATTCTAGAAAAATTTCCTTTTCCTCTCTCCTTCCTTGCAGTGCAGGGCCTCAAACCCAGGGCTTTCCACATGCTAAGCACACTCTACCACTTGAGCTATACACCCACCCCTGGAACATTTTTCTGAGTTATAGTGTTTTTAGTGATAAGAGGCTCCTAAACGTGTCTGGCAGCTGTGAATGTGCAAAATTTAAAAAGTCAGTTTAATGTTGCCTTGTAGATTTAAAAATCAAGCCTAAACATGCAAACAAATTAGGTATTTGACATAAACAT